ATTCGTTTTGGCTGTTACAAACAACCGATATGTGAACAAAATTAATATACCCTTGTGCACATGTGCGCTCGGGTGTAAAAAAATTTAGCAATCGTGAAAACTCACCATCTCTATCGAAAACCAGTAACCAGAAATCGAAAAAATGAACATAAAAGTGCAAAAATTTATGGAATCAATAAATTTATTTTTACTGACTCTTTTAAAATTTTTTATTAGGTACTTTTAAAAGTTGAGCGCATCTTGAGTTTATAGAACTTTTTATTAAACAAGTAGTTTTTAAGGAAAGAACACAACCGACTTCAAATTTAGGGGTACCGTTGATTTCTTCATGATCCAATCATCGGATCTCTAAACCAAATTACGGGACGACCCTTGAGGTACCATCTTTCCAATAAAAAAAGGATTATTGAAATCGGTTCACGTGGTCAAAAGTTATGTATTCCGGCGTATTGATAACCTCCTCTTTTTTTGAAGTCGGTTAAAAGTGTTTGAGTTCTGTTAATCTTATGTACATAAATAAAGTGCAGTTTATGGATTTTAAAACGTTTATTTATTTATTACATACTGTACATAAACCTTGCATGAATGTATTTTAAAGAGCGTATTATCTGAAGCAAATTTTCAGTATTTTCCGGTGATATATATTCAGAAATATAAAACCCCCCCTAAAATATATTCCTGGGTGCGCCCCTGAATTGGACCATATATGTATGTAAGATAACCTCCGACAATCTGACGAAACTCTATTCAGTGGTTTTTGAGTTTATTCCGAGCAACGAAAACGGCTATCATTTTATGCAAATAGGTATGTAGATAGGACAGTTCATAGCAAAGCTCGTAAAAGCAAAGCTCCATTCTTTGTGAAACATTTAAAAAAATTCTTCAAAATTTTCACATAAATACAATAGTTCAATGGGATTTAGAAATCTAGGAGAAAATGGTTCCCAATCGAATGATATTTGCGCGTTTACGTAAATGTATATCGATCCAGCCTTTCCCATAATTACCACTTTTCGCCACACCTACGGTATTGATAACATATGTAGCTGTGTAGAATTTCAGGACGTTAGGGTAAGCAGTTCCAGAGATAAGCTATATGAGAAGTTCTGTGTGTATGGAAGGAAGGAGCCACGACCCCTTTCCCCCTATTAATTTTTCTTTAACATTTATTATGCACAGATATCGGCCTGTTGTAATTTTATTATTCTCAAGTACTCTCGTTTGATACCCATATGGCAACACTTAGTTTATATTATAAATTTAACTGAATTAAAGTTTTCAAATAAGTGGCAACCCGCTTCAAGAATATTTTCAAAAGTAAGCTTCCTCATCCTCTTTAGTTTAATATTCGTATTGTAATATTTCATTTATTTTACAAATTTTAATGAATACAATTTTTCAATCAGTTGGCAAATCCCCTAAAGATATTTTCAGCATTAAAATTTCCTATCGTCTTTAGTTTGATGCCAATATTGCAGTATTTAATTTATGCTATCGATTAAATTAAATTAAAGTTTTCAAATAGGTGGCAACCTTCCACAAAAATATTTTCAGCTGTAAGCCTTTGTAAATTTCTTTTGACAGCCATATTGCAGTATTCACTTTACCGTACCAATTGACATAAACTGAAATTTTAAACACAGGTGGTAACTCTCTAATTTTTTCTTCTATACTGAAAGCTAGATCTCTAGCGATACATCGGTGAAAACTGCATTCAATTCCATGTTTTCGACTGATGCGCGTACAAATATACAGACAGACAGTGATTCAAAAATTCTAAAAATTGTTTATTTGACTTCTGTAGCTTTAATAAAAACCCACTATATTAATTTTTCTTTAATATCTATAAGGTACAGACATCGACCTGTTACAATTTTATTATATGTATATCTAGATGTAGATATAGATTTCATTTATTTTATCAATTTAATTCAATAAAATTTTTCAAACAGGCAGCCCTCCCTAAAAATATTTTCGGCAATAAAATTTCCAAAACCCCTTCAGTTTGATACTTATATTGCAATATTCAATTTATCTTATAAATTAAATTAAATGTAAATTGTCAAACAGGTGGCAACTCTAAAAAAATATTTTTGGCTGTAAGCCTTCTTCATTATCTTTCTTTTGACGCCCTATTGCAATATTTATTTTTTCTTATCAATTTACTTAAACTCCAACTTTCAAACAGGTGGCAACTCTCTAATTTTTTCTAATCTAATTTTTCTTCCTATATTTTAAGTTAGACCTCTAGCAATACATCGGTGAAAACTGCATTCAAATCCATGCATTCGTTTTCGAGTGATGCGCGAACAAACATACAGACAGACAGACAGTTAGACAAAAATTCTAAAAATGGTTGATTTGGCTTCTGGTGCTCTAATAAAGACCCCCCACATTAATTTTTCTTTAATATCTATAATGTACAGACATCGACCTGTTACAATTTTATTATATGTATAGATTTAACTGAATTAAAGTTTTCAAACCCGCTTCAAGAATATTTTCAAAAGTAAGCTTCCTAATCCTCTTTAGTTTAATATTCGTATTGCAATATTTAATTTATTTTACAAATTTTAATGAATACAATTTTTTAATCAGTTGGCAAATCCCCTAAAAATATTTTAGCATTAAAATTTCCTAGCCTCTTTAGTTTGATGCCAATATTGCAATATTTAATTTATGCCATCAATTAAATTAAATTAAAGTTTTCAAATAGGTTGCAACCTTCCACAAAAATATTAGCAGCTGTAAGTCTTCGTAAATTTCTTTCTTTTGGCAGCCATATTGCAGTATTCACTTTACCGTATCAATTGACCTAAACTGAAATTTTAAACACAGGTGGCAACTTTCTAATTTTTTCTTCTATATTGGAAGCTAGATCTCTAGCGATACATCGGTGAAAACTGCATTCAATTCCATGTTTTCGACTGACGCGCACAGACAGACAGACAGAGATTCAAAAATTCTAAAAATTGTTTATTTGGCTTCTGTAGCTTTAATAAAAACCCACCATATTATTTTTTCTTTAATATCTATAAGGTACAGACATCGACCTGTTACAATTTTATTATATGTATAGATGTAGATATAGATTTCTTTTTTTTATCAATTTAATACAATAAAATTTTTCAAACAGGTTGCAGCCCTCTAAAAATATTTTCGGCAATATAATTTCCTAAACCCTTTCAGTTTGATATCCATATTGCAATATTAAATTTATCTTATAAATTAAATTAAATGTAAATTTTTAAACAGGTGGCAACTCTAAAAAAATATTTTTGGCTGTAAGCTTTCTTCAGCCTCTTTCTTTTGACGCCCATATTGCAACATTCATTTTTTCTTAATAACTTATTTTTATAAATTGAATACTGCGATTTTTTTCCTTCTTTATAGAAATAATCTCACAACGTCTGAAACTACAATATTTAGTACCACTCCAGTGGACACCATCGCACCTATTGAGAAGCCTGCGGAATCAAATCAGTTTGAGTGGGAAACAGATGATGTCTCTTCTACAGCATCAGCCAAAAGTTCCGCAGGCAATAGTCCTGCGTCAACAAGTAGTGCACATCAGTCACACACACAGCAGCAGTGCAAAAAGTCGCGTAGTACCGAAAATAGTGTATCTGGTCTGGCTATAAAGGAAGAGTTAAAGCGATTAAAATTCTTCGAAATATCTTTAAAGGAACAAGTTAAGAACTTATCTTTGCAACGAGATGGATTGGTTATGGAACTGCAGCAGTTGCAAGAGGCCCGCCCTATGCTAGAAAAGGCGTTTGCGGTACGCAAATACAACATATTAGGGCTGTTCAGGATGTTGTGGAAATGGTCTTGGATTTACAGTTGGAGTTTCATTTGAAAACCGTGTGCATTTTATTGTTGTGAATTTACAAATGCAACGCAAATGCATATGCAAATGCACAAGATCCTGAACAGGCCTATTGTTCACTCCACTTTTTTACCCATTTATTTCCTAAATACTACAGCGTACCTTACATCCAAGTATTACACAGCGCGTAAACCAACTGGAACTACGAAATCGTCATTTGCAAAATGCAATCAAGCAACAGCAACAACAAACAGAATCCCTAATGCAGCGTAAGTATAGTGGCGTAATTCAAGTTAGTAAGAACTGGGGCATATTTATTTTCCCTCGTTTACGTTGAGAGTAATAACAACCTAAATTTAATTACCCATCTCAAGTTTTTGTCTATTCACAGTTGCATTTCTGGCATCTAGTTAGTAGATTCAACCTAATCAAACACATCCCAAAGAGCGACTACTGTAATATATATTTTTTTTTATGAAAATCGGTCGGTTGAATATTTGCATGATCGAAAATAATTTTTTATAAAGTAGGAACGGGTAGAATATTATACCGTCGGTCCCTCCAAGAGTAGCACATTTCACTATTCGCGTCGAAGACTAGCACATTTCATTATTTGCGTGGAAGAGTAGCACGTTTCAGATTTTTGAATAGGAAAGAAGCACATTTCAGATTCTCAAGTGGAAAAGTATCAAATTTCAGATTTTCGCGTGGAAGACAAAACTTATATGTAATCAGGGTTGCGTGATTTTAAATAAGTCCAATCACAAAGCCATAAATCAAATTTATTTCTGAATTTAAAGTTGCATCAAATCCTAAATAAATTGTATTTGTGATTTGATTTGTCGACTAAATGAAAAATTAAATTTACTTGTGATTTGATTCATCAACCAAATATAATAATGATCTGTCCGAATAAGAAATCAAATTTATTTGTGATCTGATTCGCCAAGCAAATAAAAAATAACTTTTATTTGTAATTTGATTCGTAGACCAAATAAAGAATACGATTTATTTGCGATTTGATTTGCAGAGCGAATCGATTCGGAATTTTTCAACTAAATAATACTTTTTTATGCAACGCAAATGCGATTTTAAATTTTTGCCAACTTCCAGTTCTACGAAAATTGGCGGGCTTTTCGCGATTTTTGGGATTCTCGAGACTATATCTTTATCTTCGAAACTACTTCCGGATTGAAGTTGGAAAATACTTGAAAATAGTATTTGCGTTGCACAAAAAAGTATTATGTATTTAGTTGAAAAATCACGCATCAAATTCATTCGCTCTACAAATCTAATCACAAATAAATTTGATTTCCTATCTTGTGGTCGTTGTAGCGGCTACAACAACCCCGCCCAGATCGGCTAGTATCTCAGTCGTTGTCGTCAAGCTCAACTAACGGAAGACCCATCAAGACCAAGCGTGCAGCCTCTATAGGGTCTGTCCACAGGGACAGAGGCGTTAGTTGTGTGGGGTTTTCCGGGCATACGAAGAAATGTTTCGTGTCGTGGGGTGTCTCTCCGCTTGCCGGATACTAATTTGGCACATCTGCATCTAATCTGCTCAGGTATGAGTTCAGCCTGCTGCAGTAGCCAGAGTGAAGTTGGGCTGTTGTGATCCGAGTCTCCCGACGCAGACGAAGCTCTGTCTCGTCTACGTCAGGTGGGTGTGTGCCCAGAACGGCATTCACATGTCTGGAGTCTACGTAACTTGAGATTGACTCCCTGTGAATGCCGCTTAGGCACTGCCGGCATGCTGATGGGTCCAGAGGTTGCTTTATGAACCTCTGGATCTCGTCCGTCAGTTCGTATAGATGCCTTCTGGTCAATGTATTTGGTTGACAAATCAAATCACAAATAAATTTTATGACAATCTGAAATGTGCTACGCTTCCACGCGAGAATGTGAAATGTGCTACTTTTCCACGCAAAAATCTGAAATGTGCTATTCTTTCACCCAAATAATGAAATGTGCTACTTTTCCACGCAAAAATCTGAAATGTGCTAGTCTTCCACGCAAATAATGAAATGTGCTACTTTTCCATGCAAAAATCTGAAATGCGCTACTCTTCCACGCAAATAATGAAATGTGCTAGTCTTCCAGGCGAGAACATGACATGTGCTACTTTTCGACGCGAATAGTGAAACGTGCTGGTCTTCCAGATGTGCTAATTTTCGTAGGGAGTGACGATATAAACTAACAACACTTCTAGTCAAAAAAAATTAACAACCTAACACCTACCTACCTAGTAAAGTTAAGCGAAATTTTATGATTTTCGATGGCTCTGAAATTTCGTATTGGAGGGTTTTTTTTGGTGCGAGGAATCTGAATTTGATATTATTTCTGCGATCCGACAAATATATAGTATATTTTTCATACAAAAAACATCAAAAAATTACAGAAAACGGCCAAAAACGATGATTTTTGAATGGAAATGTTCCAAAAGTTGGTTTTGATAAAAATACGTTCCTAAAAATTGCATCGTAATCAGAGAAGCAAAAGGATACCACCCATAAAAAATGTTACGATTTTGAGCAAAAACTCCAAAATTTTCTATGGTAATTACACCTATTTCAAACTGAAACTGAAATGAAAAAAAGAAACGTCAAAAAATGAGCCACTTGGTACGGCACCCAAATTGGTAGAAATGACCAAAAAATATGTATAACCAGATATATTTATACATATTTTCCAAATTATAAATGTTTTCCAAATATGAGCCATTCTTTTTTAAGTCGGATGTATTTCATAAAAAATATTATATCATGTCTCCGATTGGCTTATTTTTTTTTTTAAAAACGTGGTTCAAAAAATGGCCGTTTTGCAAGAACATTTTTCTTTAGGACGAGATGGTTTATTTTGTGAGAATCAACAATTTTTTATAATTTGTTTTCGAAAACTTATGTTGAGATACATTTAGTAGTAAGGTGTTAAAAATCGAGTTTTTGCAAAAATTTAAATTTTATTGCGTATTCCTTTCCAGATATAATATTTGTACGGCAAGACTTTTCTTTAAGGCGACAAACCCCTAAAAATAGGTTTGGCAATTTTAGGACTAAAGTTTGCAAAACGCAGATTTTATTGCGGATTTCGGTAGAAAATCTCTTCGTTAACAACATTTGTTCCACAACTTTTTGAATCAAAGAATATTCTAGAAATGGGCTGGCTATATTAAAACCAAAGTTCAAAAATTTAGACTTTATTGTGGATTTCGCCAGAATATCTATATGGATTGAAAAAGTTGTGGAACAAATGTTGTTAACGAACCGATATTCTGCCGAAATCCGCAATAAAATCTGCGTTTTGCTAACTTTAGTCCTGTAATTTCCACGCCCATTTCTAGGGATTTGTTGCCTTAAAGAAAAATCTTGCCGTACAAATATTACATCTGGCTAGGTATTCTATCGGAATCCGCAATAAAATTAAAATTTTTGCAAAAACTCGATTTTTAACACCTTACTAAATGTATCTCAACATAAGTTTTCGAAAACAAATTATAAAAAGTTGTTGATTCGCACAAAATAATCCATCACGTCATAAAGAATAATATTTTAAAAATAGTTCTCGCAAAACGCCAATTTTTTTAACCACGTTTTTTATAGAGGGTTAAACAAGTATTACGATGGTATAATTTTAAACCCCTAACTTACTGGTCTTCACTATGCAAATGGACTTCAAAAAGTTCAACTATTAATAGCTAAGTTAGCTTTAGGACCCGTTTCTTTAGCTTTAAAACGACGTTAAGATGAAGTCTCTGCGATGAGCAGAACCCGAGATATAACGATTTGAAGAAGTACATGATTAGTCAGAATCACGAAAAAATGCAAACTCTGACAGATCATATCTCCGAAGAAATAAAATATAAAAAAAATTCCTCGAACACCTGTTAGCTTATTTAATGTATAGAACCCATAACAAAATTTTAAGCCAAACGAAAGTGTGACACCAAATTTGGTGTCTTATGAAAAAGAATGTCTCATATACATATTTATGAATGTTTTCCAGATATATTTATACATTCTTTCGAAATATGTATATACATATATAAATTTTTTTCTTTTTCTTTGATGAGATTCCAATGAATTTTTTAGTCATCTTCGTCTTCATTATTTTCTTGTAAATTCCAACAAATATCTCCAAATAGAGCAACCAGCACGGGTGGGACATTTGTACAGTAAAAATGTATTTTCTTTTTTAAATTTAAGTATAAAGTACTCAGCAATTGTAAATTTTGATAAAGCTACACCTACATAATTCACTATTATATGAGTTATTACCTAATACGAAAAAAAAATCCAACTTATTGTTATATGGGAGAAAATCCGAGTTATTCCTTCTGTCACGAGTGGGACACAAAAAAAGAACCTGTTATTGGAGCAGATATATTTTACGGAAATTCTGCGAACTTATTTCACTTTTCTGTGTGAACTTGATGTCTTGAAATAAAAAAAGAACCACGAATACTAACAAAGCAAAAACTTACACAAAAAGTATTGCTTTATTATAAAAAAATCCGAAATTCCTGTAACGGGTGCGAAACGTACGAATTTTTATATAAAAAGGAGCTTTTAATGTGGTCCATATTTTAGATTATTTATTAAAAAATATAAGAAGCCAAGTAGAGACTCAATTCACTCACGTTTTATCTTAGGAGAGAGCAATTAATACCGAAGAAAATGCTTAGCATTTCCCCCTCATCCTCTGCGTTTACCTCAACAACTGTCCCACCCGTGACAGCTACGGGTGGGACATGCTACTCTGTTGAATCATTCTTATCTAACTATATGGAAACGAAAATGCAATTGTGGTAAACATTTGCCAGGATTTTCTAACATTATGTAACAATCACGAAACACAGCCTCATCTTCTGCAATAAAATATAGCAACTTTTAGCTTTTTTGTCACGGGTGGGACATGGCCAATACTGCTTAATAATTTCATATATATGCTTAATAACACTGTGAGACAAATGGTAGGGGTCAGTGATCGGGAAGGGTTCAAACTACCGGGGAAAGTTATATCGGTAAAAAAGAAGTTATACGTGTCCCGGCGTTTCGCTGGGTCACGTCTAGGAATCGAGATATATATATAACTATCATATAGGGGAAATTGTCACCTTTGGTGGTCTTTTTTTGACATAACTCGAGAACCACTAGTCCGATTTTGCTCAAACAAATTTAAAAAAATTAAAAATTACAATTCCTTTAATCTGTTCATATAACGTTTTTCTATATAATCAACAGTTTTGCCGGTAAAAATAAATGTATGAAGA